AAAGAAAAGAAGTAGGACCTACCAGTGACACCCTCCAACCACTCACACAGACAGAAACAACAGAGGGAAAGTAAAGAAGTAGGACCTACCAGTGACCCCCGACCCCCCCTCCCAACCCCTGACCCCCAGTGACCCACCTTTGGGCAGCCCCAGCTGCTGTAGTTCGTTGGCCAGTGTGTCAGCGTCCACGTGGTGCCGGGCCGCCCGGGACAGGATGAAGGACAAAGCCGCGATGGACGCTTTGATGTCGCCTGACTCTGCTCGCGGGACCAACAAGAAGAGTGTTACAGCATTTGCAACACAATTAGGTCCTATAGAAATTTCTGTCTTAGCTCTAGAAACAGTTTTACAGCACTTGTTTTAGTAGATGTTTTACAGCGCTCCCAACTGCATAAGGTCATAAGAGCGCCAAGGGGTGGGTGTCAGCAGAGAAGTCTTTACAGAGAATCAGACTTACTCTGCTCACCTCTCTAGCTTCAACAGCACAATGTCTGCTTCGACTATCAAGGCACCCCGGAAATAGCGGGTCACAAGAGAGTGACAAACATACAAAAGAAGTAGAGGAAAATGACGATAGTAAGGATTAGGAAAGAAAAAGCAGCAGTTCCCCCTACGTTGTTCCGGCACAGTTATGAGCATGACAGTGATAAATCAGCCCATTTACAATTTTACTGTACAAAAGAACATGTTAATGTCCCCCCTTTGGGAATGGACTAAAGACACTTCAGTCAGTAGCGCTGCCCTGGGAGGGGGGGGGGGGGGTTTAAAGCACTTGTAACACAATTAGGTCCTATAAAAATGTCAGTCTTAGTTCTAGAAAGAGTTTTACAGTACTTGCAACACATTTTGGTCCTTTAGAAATGTTTAGTTTTAACTCTAGAAAGAGTTTTACAGTACTTGCAACACAATTTGGTTCTATAGAAACGTCTGTCTTAGGTGTAGAAAGATTTTTACAGCACTTGCAACACAATTTGGTCATATAGAAGTGCCGTTTTTAGTTTCAGTAAGAACATTACAGCACTTGATACACAATGAGGTCATACAGAGACAATTAGGTCATACAGACACAATTAGGTCATACAGACACAATTAGGTCATGCAGAGACAATTAGGTCATATAATTAGGTCATACAGATACAATTAGGTCATACAGATACAATTAGGTCATACAGACACAATTAGGTCATAGACACAATTAGGTCATACAGACACAATTAGGTCATACAGACACAATTAGGTCATAGACACAATTAGGTCATAGACACAATTAGGTCATACAAACACAATTAGGTCACACAGACACAATTAGGTCATACAGAAGCCACGTTTTTGGTTTCAGTTTGGTTTCAGTAAGAGTTTTACAGCACTTGCGACACAATTAGGTCATAGAGACACACTTGGGTCATACAGAAGTGCTGTTTTTCGTTTCAGTAAGAATATTACAGCACTTGCCACACACTCAGGTCAGCTGTGTGGACAGGGGCTCAAAAACGTTGACAATCCATCAATGAGATAAGAAAACTTACCAAATTTAGCGTCTGACGTTAATTTGTGGACTTTTTCATACTGAGGGGGTAAAAAAGACAAAGATCAGTTCATTTTTTCACCGTTCACTTTCTGAGAAGAAATTCTCAAAGACAAAATAGATATATTTATATTTTGCAGAGGAAATTCTCCACTGAAATATTACGTTTTTTAGACTGAAATATGACATTTAGATTGAAATATTACATTTAGACTGAAATATTACATTTTGTAAAATAAATTCTCCACTGAAATATTACATTTAGACTGAAATATTACATTTTGCAAGAGAAATTTTCACTGAAATATTACATTGCGTAGAAGAAATTTTCCACTGATAAGATACATTTTGTAGAAAAAATTCTCCACTGAAATATTACATTTTGTAGTAAAAACTCTCTACTAACATGTTACATTTTGTAGAAAGTGGAGATGAAAGCAGATGACAGACCAAGATTAGAGAACAGCAAAAGAGGTGAAAAGAGAACATTTTAGAGAAAAAAAAAATGTTCCGTCGCTATCAGGTTTCAATCCCGGGAGTTTTTTAATGAGAGGCGAACAGCGCACCTCTAGACCACGAGAGCCCCTCATAGTCTGATGCTTTCCAAAGCTTTGGGTGGACTTGGGACCAGCAAATTGATATATTTGTACTTTCCAGCAACATTTTTCAGTACAATCCATACTGAAATGTGTTTTTTAATTGCATTAAAGGCGTTCAGTCAAACAATAATTACGATAAAAATTGCCCTATCGCGGGGG